CTGCTGAGTTCCCTCCTCTCCCAGATTCCACCAATACCAGGGCCCAGGAATCCCCCAAGCCAGAATTGCTAATCCTACTCCATCATGACACTCATTTAATTATTTTCTGTTAATTTTTTAAAGCAAATTCCATAAAACGATCAAATAATGTGGAAGCAAGGAAGCTGGCAGATGGTGTACAATTGCCAGAGAAGTCTACAGATGGAGCACAGGCAGCCAAGGAGGCAAAGAAAGAAGAGGGGAAGAACAAAGCCAAGCCCAGAATGCGGTTCCCAAACTCCCCTCTGTTTAAAAGATGGGGTGACAACCTAACAGAAGACCAGGAAGTGGCAGCTCAGGGCCTGTTTGTACAGTATGGGTACAATGTCTACCTCAGTGACCAACTACCTCTGGACAGATCTCTCAAAGACACCAGGCCTTCCAGGTGAAGTAGGACTCTCTTTCAGGTACTTTTATGGGCTAATGTAAGTTGACAAATATGGACTTGAGGTCAAGATTAAGGGATAGAGAAGCTGGAGAGCCAGGGGGCAGGGGGGGGACATGAGAGGGGGAATACACAGCCAGAGGAGAAGCAGGCAGGTAGGAAAGAGCCATAATCAAGCTGACCAGGCAGTCAAAAATAGCTGAAAGACAAAACATGATGGAATTTGGCACCTGTGTTTTCACTCCCCAATGCTGACTAATGAGCAGAAGACCTCTTTCTCCCTCCCCCCCAATTTTATCTTAAATGCTTTTTATTCTTCAGTCTCATAGTAGAGTCTGACTCTTTGCGACTCCATGGACCCCATCATGCCAAGCCCTCCTGTCTTCCACTGGCCTCTGGAGTTTGCTTAATTTCATGTTTGTTGCCTCGATAACACTGTCTAACCATCTCACCCTTTGCCGCCCCCTTCTTTGACCTTCAGTCTTTCCCAGCATCAGGGTCTTCTCCAGTGAGTGCTCCCTTCTCATTTGGTGGCCAAAGTATTTGAGCTTCAGCTTCAGTATCTGACCTTCCAGGGAACAGTCAGGGTTGATTTCTTTTAGGATTGACTGGTTTGATCTCCTTGTAGTCCAAGGGACTCCAGCACCATAATTTGAAAGCATCTATTCTTCTGCGCTCAGCAGCTTAAATAATAAATCAAAAGTCAAACATCATTTAAAAAACTGTATAAAACTCTTCTAAACATGGTCAAGCAGACCCAAAACAGCACAGTGGCGTCAAGAGAGATGGCTCAAGCTACAGGCAGCATTTAAGAAAAACAACAACAAAATGTTGACATTCCAAATTCAAATAACAAATCTTTATCAATTAAAAGCTTGATTTAAAAGAACAGACCAGCAGCTTTCTTGAAACTCCACAATGAGACTGGAGTCTTCCTTTTCTCTGTGTGGAATGAATTCCAGAACTCAAGAGCCACCGCTGATAGCATCTTATTGCTTCCCATCATAGATCTGCTTTGCTTGTCCCCCTCCCAATTTCATTAGCACTTTAATAAATGCCTAGACATTTCCAATTCATTTCATCAGGTCTATTTTTGGGCAGGAACGCACAGGAACGGAGTTCCGGCTGGCTTCAGAGTTGGCCACGCCCACTACAGCCAAAACCTCTGCGTGAGTGGCTACAGAGGGAAGGCCTGGAGAGTGACCCCCCCAGCGACTCTGAGGTGGGCGGGCCAGGGGGGCCCCTGGAAGGATCGGGGAGACTTTTAAATACCTCCCTGTGCCTTCCCCGGCCTGTCAAAGGGCCAGTTTAAACTGCCTTCCCTTCCCTTCCCTTCCCTTCCCTTCAAGGGGGGGCTTGCCCAGGCTCCCCGCAGCCGGGGTGTGTGGGTGTGGCCTAATATGATAATAAGCTGCACTATCAGGGGTGTGGCCTAAAATGCTAACGAGTTTCTGCTGTTGGATGTGACCTGTTATGCTAATGAGTTCCTGCTGGGCTTTTTCTACAAAAAAAGCCCTGCATTTCATTAAAAAATTACCAATAGATATCATACAAAAATCATACAAAAGCCTTTATAACATTATCTAATACTTCCATATTCCCTACCAAAGTAGAGATTTTTAAAAAATTATATATGTTCCTTAATTCCAGACTGGTTGCTTCAGTCACCAATTCCTTTTCCAGATAACAATGCAAAGACAAAGTGTCTGGACTCTAATCTGGGAGAACCGGGTTTTATTCCCCACTCCTCCACTTGCACCTGCTGATGTGACCTTGGGTCAGTCACAAGCTCTGGCACAGCTGTCCTTGAAAAAGAGCAGTTTGTGTCAGAGTTCTCTCAGCCCCACCCACCTCACAGGGTGTCTGTTGTGGGGAGGGGAAGGGAAAGGAGTTTGTAAGCTGCTCTGAGACTCCAAGTGAAGGGCGCGGTATAAATCCAATCTCTTCTTCTTCTTCTACATGTAACAGGTGGTATAAGATAATAGGAGTCAGAATAGGAAGTAATTCTTGTTTAGTAATTAGGTATAACAGGAGTTAGTGGATGAGCTGAAGAATGCTTTATATTAATAAAAAGAGTGAATAATATAATGGATTGTTGGAAAATTAATATTTTGTATTATTGTTCACTATAAAAATTAATAAACTGTGAATGAAAAAAATGGGTGACATTTTCCTCCTGGCCTGTTTGCAAGCCTAGCTGTTAATTCTGTTATTTTTATGTCCCATATTTTTATATTCTTTTACTGACCAATGATTCGGATTTCCAATATCAAGTGAACATCATCCGTGTTACAGTCAAAGTATTCAATAGTAATTCTTTTTTTTAACTCTTTATTAGGATACCACAATAAGTACACTTATAATTCATATAACAAGTTATCTCATATCCTTTTTTCCTTCCATTCAATAGTAATTCTTGATATGATGTCTGTACCATCTTCCCATAATTTAATTAATAGATGGTGAGATCTAAGGGAAATTTGATTTTTCCCAGACTTTTAATATGGTTCTTCAATTATTTACCAATTAATTTCAACTCTACAGCAGTTCCACCACATATGCATAAAATGAGCTTTCCCCCCTTTCAGATGAAGGCCAGATGGGAGGGCTCATGGGTGGGCTTCTGTCCTTCAGGCTCATGGGTGGGCTTCTGTCCTTCAACTATTAGGAATCCCAGATTGTGAAAAGCTTCAGAGGTCAAAACCACCACACTGAATTGAACCCGGTAGCAAACTGGAAACCAGTGGATTTGCAACACAGAAAGAGGATGGTCTTAATGTCTGGGTGCAGTTATCATTTGGGGCCAGCTTTGGGATGCTATCTCCTGATCAGGAAATCCCATCTCTTGTTCAAGGAATTCCCAAAGGTTTGAAAATGGAGCCTGTGGAGGGGAGAGTTTGGGGAGGGGAGGGCTCTCAGCAGGCTTTAGTGCCATAGAGTCCACCTTCCAAAGCTGCCAGTTTCTTCAGGGGAACTGATCTCAGCTGTCTGGAGATCAGTTGTAATTCCAGGTCGCCAGGCCCCATCTGGAGGCTGGTGATGCTAGACCATGTACATTCAGCACCATTAGGACCAACCACTTCAGAAATGCAGTGTGTCCATGGGAAGATTCAGCACTCTGTATTCCAATGGTACTCAGTCTGTGGATCGTGGAGAGCTGCATTCACAGTTTCCATCAACCAAAAGAGCCACGTAACTACTGTATGCTATGTGCGTCACTCCAAACATGGACAAACAGTAATATATAATATAACCCTTTGAATTACCACTGTATCTGATAAAGGTGTCTGACTAAGGGAGCTTTGACTCTTGAAAGTTTTTACCCTCCCTGAAAGTCTTGATGGTCTAAGGTGCTAGTAGACTTGATTCTAACTGTTCCACAGTATTTCTGAGCATCAAGAGTTCTTTCCCCACTATTGGGAGTTTTTTTTAAAAAAATGGATAATATTCAGTGGTGGTACACCCCATTCCACCAGCAAGAACAAAAAAGGGAAAGAAACTAAACCTAACAAAGAACTCCAAAACCAAACAAAGGTTAGTGGAAAGGAGGGCCAATATTAAAACCTTTTCATAAAAAGAGGTACATGTATTTATTAAGCTTTTTACTTGTGAATATTGTGGCAACACAATCAAAGAAGGTTATTTGTGGACCATAGGTGGATTTTATAATCACTGGGCTAGTGATTGCACTAAAAAGGTTTCATGTGCATATTTATCCTGTGCCTGGTTATTTTACTTCTGAACAATTTACTTTATGGTCCTTGTTGAATTTATAGTTTGTATATATTCCTGATTGTGTTTTTATGAATGTAACTATTTACCATCTAGCCACACTTGTATGACCTCTGAGGAAGGCCGATTCGGCCGAAACGCGTCAGGTCAACTCTTTTAGCCCTGGTTATGGTTATGTTTTATATATATTGGTTATAATTGGGCCCCTATATATGTTTTAATTTGATATTATTAATAAATACATGTCACACCCCATTCCACCATCATATCCAGCTGTATATATTGATCTAGCCTCAAACACAGAACCCACCTTCATTTTCAGAACCTTGATATAATTGTCATGGATAAGTTGTGTTGTGATTTTAAAATAAAACAGTTTTATCTTGGTCCCATAGTAATGACGAAATTATTCTCATTTCTAAAGAAATTACACACTTTCCTTTAATGCAGGGCAGGGACCACAGGGAACAGTACTCAGAAGAACCACATGTGGGTATCACTGCTATATGCTATCCACATCCAGTGCACTGCAGGCTTTTGAGCTGGATGTCATCATTAACCACTCAACAGGGAGGCCTCCGCCACTCCTAAATTAATTTGGAAAAAAATCATTTCAGATATCTAGCAGATGTAATGTTAATCAATTATTTTAAAGTTAAATTTAGGATCAGATGGGGGTGATAATCATGAAACTGAATAAATTCACTTGACAGATATTTGGTTTAATTCCCCCTCTCATGCAAACTAATAATTTGTTCTGAGCAAATCAAGACACAAATGTTGTTGTTGTTGTTTGCAGTTTATATCTCACCCTACCCTGCAAGTGGGCTCAGGGTGGCCCATATCAAAGACATAAAATAACAGAGAAGAAAAGTTAAAATATCACTATGACGAACCCCTGTTATCTACACAACTGTCTGGCAGATTTTTTCCTGGCAAATCTTCAGTTCCTCTTGGTGACTGAGTTGCCCTACAGTAGTGTGTATATATTCTTTGTCACAAAATACTTGACTGTCCCATCCTATGTTTAGATATTTAGTTTAAGCTTTTTCTCAGCTCACAAACTCTACTGAAAATACAGGAGCTGTCCAGTTTTTTTTAAACCCTTGAGAAATGGCACTTGAGGCAAATTAACTTTCAAAAACAGAATTAAGATTTTATTAAACAGGCAGAGAATATATGTATAAATGGAATAGTCAAGGTTTTGAGATTGCTGAGGTAAACAAAATTCTAATATATACAGAGTTGAATTCTAAGAACATTCAAGAGAGTGTTTGTAGTTTTGTTTCAAGGCTTTCTGTTTCTTTGAGAGGTACTTTGTTTAGTATAATTCAGCACTAACACAGTTCTTATTGATGTTTCTAGATTTCTTCCTTCAGAGCTCTACGTTTTCCTTTAGACATTACAGCAACTCCTGAGGTGTCTAAGCTTCTCCCCTTTATCACAGTCCAGGGTTCTCTTCCCAACCCCTTTTCACCAGGAGGAAGTTATTTTCCTTATCCCTAAGAAATTAAAGTTCTCCCTCAGAGCAATTTGAATATATCTAAGACAATGGGGTTTCTCTTCTTCTTTCTGTAGAAGTACTTTTCTTATTGCCTGTCAGAAAACACTGACTCCCAAATGTCTCTTCCCTCAGAAGCCAAACCCTCTGGCTACTGATCCAGCCATTAGTTTTCACACAACCGAAAAGACGAAAGACCAAATTACAAAAGACCTCTTTTCCCTCCAGATCAACTGTTTTATTTCCTCTCTCAACTGATGCTGGCCAATCAGACAGTGAGTAGAGCAGCCAATCACATAAGCTCTTCTCTCCAGGGAAGATTAATTCTTGAGCTCCCTCACTCTCTGATACAAGCAGCATTTTTAAAAGCCTGCTTTTCTGTGCAGTCCATCACAATCACATATACAGTTACAATTAAAATTAAATCAATAAGTTAAAACAATATGTTAAAGATTCTAGCTAAACAATGAAGCAATTGGTGTCCTTCAGAGTACATTAGCCCCATCCTAGGGGGCAATAAATCAAGATGGAATGAGTCAATTGCCTGTTGCACCCGTGATATAGAGCTCCATGGCGGTCAGAACAGGGGATGCCAATGTTATTCGAAATCCACCAAAGGCCTGGTGGAACAGCTCAATTTTACAGGCCCTGCAGAATTGCAACAAATCTCTCAGGGCCCTGATCTCAATTGGAAGCATGTTCTACCAAGATGAGGTCAGGGCTGAAATGACTTTCAGGCCAGATACTACAAGGCAGTGCTGGTCAGCAAAGCACAAGGCTCTGCAAGGCATATATGGGAAGAGACGATCCCACAGGTATACTGGTCCCTGGCCACAAAGGGCCTTAAAGGTCAACACCATAGCCTTGAACCTAACCCAGTATTCAACCGCCAACCAATGCAGTTGGCGCAGCACAGGCTGAATATGCACCCGCATAGGTGTCCCTGTCAGCAGGCGCGCTGCTGCATTCTGTACTAGCTGAAGTTTCAAGATCAAGTTAAGATCAGGTTCAAGGGTAGGCTTTCATAGAGTGAATTCAGTCCTGGAAGTGACCATTACACGGATCATTGTCACCAAGTCATCGAAAGAAAGGTAGGCAACTAGTTGCTTGACCAGCCTAAGATGATAAAAGGCTGATCTGGCAACATTGGTGACCTGGACTTCCATAGAAAGTGAGGCATCCAGTGTCCCTCCTAGACTCCTCACCGATGGCACAGGCATCAGTGGCTCCCCACCAAGGGCTGGGAGCCAGCTCAGGAACAGGACCTTCATCTTAGCTGGATTTAGTTTCAGCCGGCTCAGTTTCTACCAATCATCCACAGCTTCTAAAGCCCTGGCCAGATTATCCATAGTGGATTGCTGCCAGCTGTCCATTGACAGATATAGCTGGGTGTCATCAGTGTACTGATGACAGGCCAGCCCAAATCCCCAAATCAACTGGGCAAGGGGGTGCTTTTAGATGTTAAATAACATTGGGGAGAGGATCGCCGCTTGCGGGACGCCATATACCATAGGGTAACATGATGAAACCCTCTCCCCAGATGCCAGCATCTGTCCCTGACCATGGAGAAAGGAGGACAGCCACTGCAAGGCTGTTCCTCGAATCCCTGTGTCAGCGAGGTGGTGGGTCGAAAGATCATGATCCACCATGTCCAATGCTGCTGTCAAATCCAATAGCAACAGCAGTGCTGACTCGCTTTGATCCAGATGTCTCCGGAGGTTGTCTGTAAGGGCTACCAGTACAGTCTCCATCCTGTGGCCCGGGTGGAAGCTGGACTGAAATGGGTCCAGGATAGAGGAGTCATCCAAGAACACCTGGAGCTGCTCAGCTATCACTCTCTCAACCACCTTGCCTAGGAACGGAAGGTTTGATACTGGGCGGTAGTTAGCCAGGACCGTAGGGTCCAAAAAGTTTTTTTTCAGTGGTCACACCACCACCTCCTTCAGGCAATCTGAGAATGTCCCTGAAAATGATTTGTCATGAGAATGTGATAAATGGAATCTTCACAACATTTTATCATGACAGTCTTTTTCTTCCTGATAGTCCTTCGCTTCCATTGGGCAGGAAAACATTCTGACAGATTCTCCTCCTGGTTTTCTGGACAGGTGTCAAGAGAAAAAATATCCACATGACCTCCCAACAATTAGCGTTGTTCTAATATTTGTAAATGAGGCCACATCCATCATCTTGCGTGCGATCACCAGCATAATCAATAGAACGCCTTCCCATCTCTTGAAAGAAATTGTCTTGGTTGATGACTGCAGTTCGCATGGTGAGTCCCATGGACTGCGAATGTTACAAGCCAGAATGGCTGGTCCATGCAACAAGGTATGGTTGTCACTGGATGGAGCCTCAATCCTGCTCATTCTGGGTATGGAGAACACATTGCAGAGATGCTCCTCTTATAGAGAAGTCCAACATGAGTTCTCTGCACTGAGGTGCATGGCCGCTGAAAACACCACCATAGTAATACGCCCAAGTTGTTTCAAGGTCAGTTCTGTCTATGCAGACTGACAGTGGCTCTCCAGGGTCTCAGGCAGAGGTCTTTCACATCACCCACTTCCTGGTTCTTTTAAACTGGAGATGCCAGGGATTGAACCTGGGACCTTCTGCATGCAAAGCAGAGGCTCTACTACTGAACCATGGCCCCTCCCCCCAATTTTTTCAGACTAAAGCACCTGGTATTCCCAGGCAGTCTTCAATCCAGGTAATAACCAGGCCAGACCCTGCTTACCTTCTGAGATCAGAAAAGATTGGGGGTGTTCAGGGTGGCATGGCCGTAGATTTTTCTCTCAGAACATCTAGCAATAGCATACTTTTGCCCCAGGTCTTGGGGGTAGGGGGTGTTATGCCTGGACTTGTCTGACAGACCACCTAGATGGAGGGTGGGGAGGCATGTCTGGGTTTGCCTGGGCTTGTCTGGGCAGGCCCCCGAGTTGGAGCTTGAAGCCCCAGACCAAAGGCAGGCAGGATCCTGGAACCTGCCTGTGGCTTGGCCCCTGAGGGCAGCCAGCCAATCTGGAGCCTGGAGGCCATTTGAACTCACCAATTGCATGGGGGTTGGGAGTGGCTTAGATGTATACAGTTAGAGCAGTTGCCCATGTAAAGCATTCCTGTTGCGATGCAACAAACTGCTGCTTGTTGAAATCACTCTGCCTTCACCTCTGCCATGTTAAACCCACTATTTAACAGGGGAGGCTTCTGGGGAGCTGCCAGTGAGCATCTGAGCAAAACAGGGCGGCAGCCACACGTATCAGAGCGAAACACATGAGCTTCAAGTGAATGGTCTGGCTGCATTTTAAATTAATCTCTGCATGAGTTTTGAGCATCCAAATTTCCTCTGGTCATTATACAGTAAGAAAGATTCATGGGTTTGTACGGGGGAAAGAAGGGAAATGTGAATAATGTAACCTAATTGATCTTTTCCATATTTCAGCACATATTAATATTTGAAGAGACTAAATTGTGCAGCATTTTCCCCCCCCAGAGGACCTAAAAGAACCTTTGGAGGAGAAGATCAAAAGGTACAATGTAAAACATCCTGGGCTGCTGAAATTGGTCCGGCATCAGAGAAGAGAAGGTCTCACACAAGCTCGGATTTCTGGCTGGAAAGCATCCAGTGCTGACGTTGTGGCTATCCTGGATGCACATATTGAAGTCAATCATGGATGGTAAGGAATAAAATGGAGACAGGAATGCTCCCCCCAGCTCCCTTGGTGATACCCTATTACAGGAATTCCATCTGGGGGGAAATCTCCTTTGCTCCCATGGTAGTCTCATACAGTGACTCAAGTTACATACAAGACCCCACTGTAAGGTTAGCATCACAAGATAGGAAATAATGGAAATAATCAAATCCAGGAGAAAAATTTATGATACTGACCTATAAATGCATTTCAAGAAGTGAACTCTTTGACAGGAGGTAACAAAAAAAACATTTTGGACAGAAAGAGTTTTAATGCCTTCCTCCAAATTCAGAACTCCAAATTCTGAGGAGAAACTGAGATGAGAATTTTGGAAGAATCCCTAATATTTGTGGTCATGAGTTAGTTTATGCAAAGATAAATGAGATGCCCTTTAATATCTATGGAAAGTACTAGATTGCTGTTCACATATGTGTTTTTATTGGGGTTGTGTCCTGCAGATGTAATTTCATACAAGTGCACTATGGATTGGGTCCTGTGCAGTGTTCCCTCTAAGCTAAGTAAGTGTGAGCTAGCTCACAGCTTTTTAGCCTCCACCTCACACATTTTTGTCTGAGCTCAGGAAGGATGGCTCTGGAGCAAACTAATTTATGCAGTAGCCAAATTGCTCGCTCACAACTTTAATGCTATTAGCTCACAAAGTAGAATTTTTGCTCACAGGACTCCGCAGCTTAGAAGGAGCATTGGTCCTGTGTATTTGTTCTGTTAGTGGAGGCACTTTCCTGTGGCAGAAGGCACCTTCCACCAGAGATAGGGCTGCCAACTCCAGGTTAGGAAGTCCCTGGAGATTTGGGGGTAGAGCCTGGGAGGGCGGCGTTTGGGGAGGGGAGGGACCTCAGTGCAATATAAACACCAAAGAGTCCATCCTTCAAAGTAGACATTTCCTCCAGGGAAACTGATCTTCACTCTGGATATCAGTTGTTATCCCCCAAGATCTCAAGGCTCCACCTGGAAAATGGCAACCCTACCATTAGCAGAACAAATGCATGGTCGTGTTTCCTAGCTGCGAGGCTGAGGCCAGGTTGCAAAAAGCACCAACGGTCAAGCATGCGTTACAGTGAATGCCCAGGGGAGGCGTAGTCATAGGTAACAGCTCAAAACAGAGGTATATTTAGCACTTTCCATGATGATTTGTGGTTTTGATTATTAAGATATTAGGATACAAAAAAGAGAGTTCTTTATTCTTCATATATAGCAAGGAAAAGATTTGTAATCAAACTTATATTTATTGTAGAGAAAATTTGGAAGGCTTTTTCTATTTTATGTAATTTTTTATCTTTTTTTATCTTCTTTTATCTTATCAATGCAAATTAGAAATTCAAAAAAGTAGTATTTCCTTTTGTCTGTCCTGAATCTACTGCCCATCAACTTTATTGGATGCTCTTGAGTTCTAGTATTTTGGGAGAGGGAGAAAAAGGGGACTCTCTGTCTACTCTGTCTGCCCCATGCATAGCCTCTGTTGTTTTCCTCCCCTTACTTGTCCCTTTTCTAAAGATGAACATTCCCAGTCTTCAGCCTTTCCTAGTAAGAAAGGTTCTCCAACCCCTTAATCATCTTGTATTTCTTATATACAAGAAAGGTATTTTTTGCAGCATTCTATTAATTTACTGTAGGTCTGAACCCATTCTGTCTCGAATCAAGGAAGACCGCACTGTTATCATATCCCCAGTGTTTGACAATATCCGCTTTGATGACTTCGGACTAGTCCCATACATTGAGGCTGCAGACGGATTTGACTGGGCCCTCTGGTGTCTCTACGAGTCAGTTCCAGGGGACTGGTACGCACTCAAAGATGAAACAGCACCAATCCAGTAAGTCAGAATAGTTAAGCTTTGCACTTCCACTTCTCTGAACAATGGGAAATTCCAGGGGCAGCTGACAGAGGGTGATTTTCCTTGCGACGAGAGACTACATATTACTTTATCTATACAAATTGAGGAGGAAGGCTGTCACACAGAATGCTGGTCTTTTTCTGATATCAGAACTGCAAACTGTTATGTAGTGGGTAGCCGCATGGATGGACGACAGACAACGACGTAGTGCATAGCACGCTTTATTAGGCACACAACAAGACATGCGGACAAACGGCCGGCAGGCCAACTATATACACACCTGGGGACGCCCCCTGGTCACCATTGGTGGGTTTGAATCCCCCGCCATGGCTCCCATTGGTTCCCCTGTGGAGGGACTAGAATCCTAGTCCCCATTGTCTTCCAGGACTGAAGCTCAGGTATGTGCGCTGACCTCCGGTGGCGGTCAGTGGACACAACACCCCTCCCCCCATAGTCCGGAACCCCCCCTAGGTGACATAGTCTTTCAGGTACGCTGGGGGCTGTCGCACCCTTGCTGATCGTCTGGGGCCCTGTGCTGGAGCCCCCTGGGTTCTGACCTCAGGTCCGGAATCATGCGGTGGAGCTGGGGCTTCAACCGTCTCCTGTTCGGGTTCTGGGGACCCCACCTCCGCTGTCGGGGTCTGGCTGCTCCGCGGTGGGTCCTCTGGCGCGGGCGTGGTTACGTCTGGGGCCTCGCTGGGGTCCTCTTCTAACTCTACCCACTGCCTCGGTACTTCCGTCGTCTCGTGATCGGGGAGCAATCGCCGCCTGAGCTGGTCGATGTGCCGCCGGAGGATCTGGCCGCACTCTGTGGACACCTCATACATGACGGTGCCCGTTGGCCTGATGATGCGGCCCGCGGGCCACTTCGGCCCCCTGCCAAAGTTCTCCGCAAACACAGGCTCTTCGGGGAAAAACCCGCGTGGTGCATCCCTCTGCTCTGTGAGGTTC